GGGCAGCCGGGTGAGGAGGGGGTGGGGTGGGGTGGCGGCGGCTAGGGTTTGGAGGAGTCTCTGATACCAAGTTGAAATAGAAACCCTAATCTTATTATGAGATCTCTTCGGCTTATATAGGCCCCTACACAACTTACAAATAAGTCCCTAACTAATACTAATATGTCAACACTATGTACTCTTCCACAATGTCAAAGCTAGGCTTCTCTCCCTACCTTCACTATCTTTCCTTGAGGAGCCATTCAATTTTGAATAGAGCTTTGAAGGTGGCGATGGTTCTTATAGGGGCTCTTGTATTGACTCGGTAGACATTCTAAGCCTTTTAATTCATTATTCTCTAACAAGATATTACCTTAATACTGCAGTTTGTGTTTACTTAATTAAACCCAATCTCGTGGTAATTATATTAGTGGTTAGGTTGCGGCATCTACCTTTACTATCTAATTATTTGAAGGAAAGATCTAGCTTCCTAGTGAAGCGAATGCTACCTAACTCTAGGACTGGTGCTTCGTGGAAATTCTACATATTTGGTGGCCTAGAAAAGTTATATTAGCAAATGAGTATAAGCCCGATAAAGTAAATCCCCTGGTATGACCAAAGCATGGTTTAAAAAAAATATATAAAAAACAGAACCTGATTTCACTGTACCAAAGCTTCCAACACGCTAAAGAAATTGTTGGGCTTGAACAGATCAAATGGTCAATCCTCTTTACAAAACAAGGAATAAGACCAAAGCTCAAGCCTAAGTACGTAATCGCGTAGATTGAAGCGGAATAATTATCTTAAGGCTTTTTGGTCTACAGGTTTAATTTGACTCCTTGACCATTGTACTCAATAGCTGACTGAGGTTGAGATACAGTCTTTCCCATTATAAATACTATGCCTTAAAATAAGTATGAAGAACAGCTCGTAATATTCTAAATTCAATTAATGTATGGTATTGGTATTGAATTTTCAATATTCAACATAAGGCTTTAGCTGTTAGAAATCCTAGAATTGTCAAGAAATGTTTACAATAATCATGTAATATATGAAAATCGAACAACTGGGAAGTGTCAAACATAAAATGTGTCTAGAATGTAGGATTTACGCAGATTTCCCATGAAGTTTGAATATATCATGAAAAAAAGATCTAAGGCCTAGACAAACACACAGGAGCCATAAACAGGGGAAGGGTGTAACAATTTGGAAACAAAAAATTGTAAGTGATTCAATACAACGTTCCTTCAATTTGAGAAGTTCTTTAGCCTCTACCTTTTCTACTTTCATCCATTCTCAGTCCTCCAACACTACAGCTAGCTTCCGCAACCCCAACATTAACAGCATCTTCCAGAACTAGATTGTGACATGAAATGTGATTAAATTGAGTGTGCATATAGATGTTCAAGTAATCAACATGCGATGAAAAAAAATGTTACCCGTGCAAATTCAAAATTTCAAACTGACCACATTTCTTTCTCATTTTATATTTACCAAAGCTGCCTATGCTGGAAAATAGCAACAGGTAAGTATGAGGGTTGACTATTGGCTGCAGACTACAGCAGAGAAGAGATGCTAGAGCACAAGAAGGATTAATTACTGACCTATGATGCATGTGGCGTTGGCTAGATGTGATGAATGACGAGCCACTTGCATACAACCATCAATGTTGGGGCTTTTCGTCAGGGGATGAGATTTTCAGGCTTCTGATTTTAATGAAAATTGCTGTTGAGGAGTCCTTTGCTGTGGAGGAGTGATATTTTCAATGCTTGGATTGGTGAGCTTGACTAATCACAGGCGCTACCGAATGATGTGCTATGCCATTTTTCATTATTGCGATTTACTACTAGATTCTCAGGAAGAATTTAAATTTTTCATATGACAGTATTCATAGTTATATGTTTTCTACGTTATATCACAGAGTAACAAAAAAATTTAAATTAAATATGAGTCTCACCCCTAAGCACAATTGCTTTGAATGACAAGTATAATTCTATTACAAATCAAGGCCCCTCTTTCACGAGTATACGGGAGAGCACATCCTATTAGCTCCCTTAATGGTCTAATTTTTTATAAAAAAAACTTTTCGACCTTGGACATGGCTAGGGGGAGGAAGAGTCTGTTTTTCGTTTCCAATTTGCGTCATCTTATCTTTACATGAGGAAACTACATAAACATTCAACTAGGACTTTTGTTTCAGAGTAGAATTTTTTATATCACATGTAGTAAATATTTGGTAGAGAATTTTAATTGGCAATATGATAAGAATTCGCTACCGTTGAGATTGTTGCAGAAATTATCACCAGGGAAAGTGGTTTTGCTTCAAAAATCCAGAACCCTATCCGTATAAAACGCCTTCGTTGATTGTGTCTCCAGAAAGAGACTCCAACTTGATCCACTTCAACTTGATCCAACCAACAGCATTGATTCTGTCTAGACTTGAACAGGTACTTCCCCTATGCATTTCAATCCTTGGCAGTTGATCGTTGGTTTTCGAGAGAATGTTATCGAGGGATCAAGATGGTCGCCTACCGTCCAAGCATTCAAGAATGGCAATGAACCTTGCAACAAATACTCTCCGACTCAAATGGAGTTTGACAAAAGACTGCTATTGTGGGTCTTCCTGTCAGTTATTCCTCCCTAAATTTCTGTCATAAAATTGACTCCCATGGACAAGCTCAACTAAGGAACCAATAAAGACGCAACATATATAAGCTGCTTTGGAGACTGCTTTTCTTTGATTAGGTTGCGTAATAAGTCCCTACTTGAGAAAGAGAGAGTGACAGTTGTTCACAGTGGAAAAATACTAAGTACATATGTTAATATGCGAATGCGCACATATACATGCATTATATATATATATGATCGTAAGGCTAAATTTATGAAGGCCCCTTATATTTGACAACTATCAGATAAAGCCACCCATAGCTTTCAACATATCAGAAAACCCCCTTACGTTTAGGGGTTATCATAAAACGCTCTTCAACTTTTAAGATATTTTCATAAAAAACCCTTAACGGTGTCAGTGCAATTTCACATAGGTCTGTAAAGTATGCAGGGTTATATTTTTGGGAGTGATTATTGTTAGGTCTGTAAAGTATGCAGGGTTATATTTTTGGGAGTGATTATTGTTCACATTTTTATGGGCTTTTGAAAAATTGTTGAAAATTGAAAGGGGTTGTCTAATAACTGCTAAACTTAAGGAGGGCTTTCTGATAACCCCTAGACTTTGTTTTTCTTGTTTTTTTAAGGGGTTTTCTGAAATTTAGCATAATCATGATATAACCTTTCCTAACTACAACTGATGGGCATGATTTGAAAGCTGGAAGTAGTAAAAGCATCAAGGAGCTCAATACATTTTAGTGCAAGAAGTAGAAAATGCAACTTTATCCCCTCTATTGATCTTACCTACCAATTAAAGAAGGAAAATTTAACCTCTAGTTTAATCTGTTTCGTAATATGTTAGAATATAAAATTATAATCCTCAACGCCCACCATTACTTAAGTCTTAGAATAGAATTGAAACCCTAATATCATTGATAAGATAACATGGGCTTATATAAGCCCTACAAAACACATCTTACATATAAGCCCTTTAACTATACTAATATGTCAACACTCACTAGTGGAAAAGCCAGCATCGCTGACGGCAACTTCGCTGACGGGATATTCCCGTCAGTGATGTTTATCCCTAATATCATTGATAAGATAACATGGGCTTATATAAGCCCTACAAAACACATCTTACATATAAGCCCCTTAACTATACTAATATGTCAATACTTAGTATAATGGAACGGACCTTTAACATGATATTAGAGCAATCCATGTTCGAATCCGACAAGCTGTGCATTTTAAAAAAAAATCAAAGAAAAAAAATGTATACAGTTCTGTGAGTCCTAGCTTCGAGCAACGAAGAGGACGCTTAACCTGTTAGAGGATGTTATAGATAATGCTTGTAAGGGATCTTTAAGATGGACATTGCCATACATAATGATGGTAACACTGTCATACTCTAAAGAGAACTAAAAGAGGAGTCGGCAAGATACGTGAATGGGACAACACATCACCAATAAAACGCTTGCCACAACCGATATTCTGAGAGGAATTTTGAGTGAAATATTCCTAGTTTTCTTTTTAATTCATATTCTGAAGTAGGAGAGCTTCAACCAAGAAGATAGCAAGCTAGGCAGAAACTTGGTGAGGCTTCTTTTCAATATTCCTGTAGAAAGAGATAATTGAGAGAGCAAAAACCCTAACTTCATTGATTTATTCAGATACTAGAGAGATATATATATATAGTCATACAAATAGGGGTATGGTTAACGGGTCACAACCCATTAACCCAATACCCAATATACTTAATCTAACACTCCCTCTCAAGCTAGAGCATAAATATCCACCATGCCCAGCTTGTCACAAATAGTAGAAAACACCTTTGAAGAAGTAGCCTTGGTAAGAATATTAGCAAGTTGTTGTGAGGACGGAGTGAATGTGAGAGATACTATCTTCTTCTCCCAAGCATCTCTGACAAAATTGCAGTCAACTTCAATATGTTTTGTCCTCTCATGAAACACAGGCTCCTGTGCAATATAAATGGCAGACTGGTTGTCACAATGCATTGGCATGGGTCCAGACTGAACAAAACCAAGCTCTGTCATAAACTTTCTTAGCCACACCATCTCACAAGCAGTGTGAGCCATTGCTCTATATTCGGCCTCTGCACTAGATCGTGATACTACATCTTGTTTCTTACTTCTCCAAGTCTCAAGATTACCTCCAACAAAAGTACAAAATCCTGAGGTTGACTTTCGGTCTCCCAGTCTCCTGCGTAGCCATCATCAGAGAAAGCCGAAATGTGAGTATGCTCATGATTCTTATATAACAATCCCTTGCCAGGACAACTTTTGACATATGCCAAAATCTTCAGAGCTGCTGTCCAATGAACCTCTCTAGGTTTGTGCATAAACCTGCTCAGTACACCTACTGCAAAAGTAATATCAGGTCTGGTAACTATAAAATATATTAGCTTCCCAATTAGTCTCCTATATCGTGCAGCATCATCTAGTAGAGAGGTATCATCACGCCACAAATCAACATTTGCCTCCATTGGAGTGCTTGCAGATTTGCATTCCAAAAGATTTGTTTCTTCTAGTAAATCTAGCACATACTTCCTTTGAGACAACAACAGACCATGTTTTTTATATGCAACTTCAATCCCAAGAAAATACTTTGGCTTTCCCATGTCCTTAGTGACAAAATGACGGTTTAGATACTCCTTTCTTCACATCTAGTTGGTGCATCGCCCAATCCATATTAACAGCCAGAGAGAAAAGAATTCTGATGGAGTTGAGACGAGCAACGGGAGAAAAGGTTTCAAAATAGTCAATACCATATGTCTGGGTATATCCTTTAGCAACCAGGCGAGCTTTATATCTATCAACAGACCCATCAGGACGATATTTCAAGGTATACACCCATCTGCAGCCAACCACAGTCGCTCCAGCAGGTAGAGAGACCAAATCCCAAGTCCCTCTAGAAAGCAGTGCATTCATCTCCTCATCCATAGCCTGTTTCCAGGCGGGTACTAACAAAGCTTCCTCATGTGACCTGGGTAAAGATATAGTGGACAATGACAAAGCAAACTGATGAAATGATGAGGTGAGACGGTCATAAGAGACAAAAAGAGAGATATGATATTTTGGGCAAGACCATTTACCTTTACGAAGAGCAATAGGAACATCTAAGTCAGAAGAGATATGAGGCTCGACATGAGATGGACCTGCAGCTGGAGAAGAAGAGTCAGCAGGAGCAGAGACATGTGTATGTACCTTAGGACGACGAGAGTATGTCAGTAGAGGCTTTGGTGCAGTAGCCACAGGAGCAGATACCGGAATAGTAGTGGGAGCCGTAAAAGGTAGTGGCACCTGTGGACTGACAGAGGTACTGGAACCAGAGGAAAAATATAGGACAGACTCAAAAAAGGTAACATCAGCAGAAACAAAATATCTCCTGGTATCGGATGATAGCACCTATACCCTTTTTGAGTACGTGAGTATCCAACAAACACACACTTAATGGACCTAGGAGACAATTTATCCAAACCAGCAGTCAAATCCTGAACAAAACACGTACAACCAAAAACTCGAGGAATCACAGAAAAACGTTTTTTAGCAGGATAAAGACAGTGGAATGATATCAAACCATCAAGAACAGAGGAAGGCATGCGATTAATCAAATGACAGGCAGTGAGGACAGCATCCGACCACAAGTACTTTGGAATATTCATATGTATCATCAGTGTTCTAGCAACATCGAGAATATGTCTATGCTTCCTCTCAGCAACTCCATTTTGTTGTGAAGTGTGAGAGCATGAAGTTTTATGAATAATACAATTAAGAGCACAAAATTTTGAAACGTCATTTTTCATATATTCCAAAGCATTATCAGTACGAAGAATATGAACAGAAGTAGAGAACTGGGTTTTTATTTCATTATAAAAAAGTTCAATAACATGCGAGACTTTAGACCTCTCTTTCAACAAATACAGCCAAGTCATGCGAGAGAAATCATCAACAAAAACAATGAAATATCGAAAACCCTTCACAGAGGGAACACGACAAGGACCCCAGACATCAGAATGAACTAACTCAAACGCAAAACTACTGCGTTTATCGACACGACTTTGAAAAGAAGCACGATGGTGCTTACCCAGTTCACATGACTCACAACCTAAAGAAGAAAGGGAAGACTGAACAGTAACTACCGATCTAAGTTTCTGTAGTGAAGGATGACCCAGACGCCAGTGCCACAGTAAGGTAGAATCAGGCTGTGCTGCAATAAGACCAGCACCCGGCACACTGTCGTCCAAATAGTACATACCTCCTCTCTCATGCCCTAAACTAATCGTCATCCCAGTTGCTAGGTCCTGAAAAACACAATAAGAAGGAAAGAAGGTGACTTTACAGTTATTGTGCTTTGTAAACTTGCTAATGGATAATAAGCTAACAGGGAATTTAGGAGCATATAACACATCAGTGAGTTTCAAAGAGGAAGTAGCATGAACTACTCCTGCACCAAGAACTAGAGAAAGTGTACCATCAGCGATGCGAATAGAGAAAAACTTATCAGAAAGATGTAAAGAGACAAAACGATCCTTTATACCTGTCATATGGGATGAGGCTCCAGAATCTAGTACCCATGGTTCATGAGGAGAAGCTATGTAAGCATCCATACCTGAAGAGGATGCATGAGTAGCCGAATGACTGTTCTCAGAGATCTCTAGCTGGCGTAACCTCTCATAATCTGCCTGAGAAATCTGAACAGTAAGAACAGTAGTAGCTGGATTACTAGAAATAGTAGTAGAAATAGGTGAGCGAGTCGACTCAGCATCGGCTACTTGGGCCCATTGAGGACGACCAAACTTCTCCCAGCACTTCTCAGAAATATGATTGGTCCTCCCACAGTGACCACACTGACGTGAACCCCTATTAGAATCACCCTGTCTCCCACTAAAAGAGACACGTCCTCCCAAAGAATCACGACCACGACCACGACCACGAACGCGGCCTCTGCCTCTACTAGAGAACATGGCAGACTGATCCACTGAAGGTGGAGACGGTGCAGAAGTATCAGAAGAAACACCAGTAGAGACCTGCATGACTCTGGAGAATGTAGCAGTCAGTGAGGGGATGGTATCTCCACTCAATATCTGTCCTCTCACCTGGGACTGCAAGTTAGAGTGTAATCCAGAAAAAAACTTAGACACTGCTAAGTCACGGCGATATCCCAACAGCATCGCCGCATCAGCTACTGCAGGCTGATGCATCTCCAGTTCGTCTATCAGTCCCTTTAACTCACCAAAGAACTCCGGAACTGATCTATCTCCCTGTTTGAGCGTAAACAGTCGCTCATAAATCTCAAATATACGGGAAGCATTCTTCTCCCACATCTCCTTCGCAGTGGTTAAGAACATAACACTGCTACTAATCTGTGGTTCCGTGCTGTTGAGAAGCCACGTCATAACACAATAATCAAACGAGAGCCATGAACTGTAGGTGGGATCTGTGGTGGGTGGAGGAGAGGCCAGAAGATGTGGAAGTTTGCTCTGAGCGCCAACGAAGATGCGGAAAGCCTGAGCCCAGAGCAGATAGTTTGTACCATTCAATTTTATTATAGTCCTCAAGACTACCTTGGGCGCAGAAGTCTGACCAGCAGCAGCAGAGGGAGATGTAGAAGAGGAGGAGAGATCTGTTTCCGACATTGTTGCACAATAGTGGTAGGCAGGTAGTAGTCAAATAATCAGGACAGTAGTAGAGATCTGTTCTTTAAACATAGACTAAGAGCAGATCAAAAAAATAGACAGTAGTAGATGACCGGATCGGGTCATGTGTGGCCTCGAATCACCTATTCAAGGCCATGGAAGATCTGTTTCCGACATTGTTGCACAATAGTGGTAGGCAGGTAGTAGTCAAATAATCAGGACAGTAGTAGAGATCTGTTCTTTAAACATAGACTAAGAGCAGATCAAAAAATAGGCAGTAGTAGATGACCGGATCGGGTCATGTGTGGCCTTGAATCATCTATTCAAGGCCATGGAAAAAGAAGGGACAAAACAAACGGCGCGGCACTGTAGCGGCGCGACACTGTAGCGGCACGGC